TACTATGTTATGTTTATGATGTTTCTAATGAAATAGATGATTGAACTCTCCCTTTTATGTTTTTGAATTAAGGGGTTGACACTATAATTGTGAATTATAAGTGTTTTGCATGATATCGTGCATTCACACAGGTAAATTTTGGTCTTTTGTGTATGGTCAAATGGCTGTTTAGAGGTTTTGGCTTGAGGATTGTATTTTGAACACTTTATGTTGTGAAAATTGTGGAAAAAGTGCAAGTTTTGAAAAGAATACCCAAAATTTGAATGTGTAATAATTTGGTTATGAAACTAAGCCATTAGTTAGAGCTCGAAAAGAGCTTCCTGTAGACACATAGTTCATGTCGATCGGACGTCAGATGGAGAAATGGGGTGCTTCAAAGTTATCCCAAAAGCTATCATAAAACGTGTAATACGCCGCGGCGTATGGCAGAGGCAAACAAGCCAAGGCACATACCCAATTTTTTTTCCTGAATCACTTTGTTTTACGATTCTTTTGTGAATGTACTAATTCTTGAAATGATCTCATGCTTCTGCATTATTGTAAACTTTGATTTGTTTCTTTAAAGATCTTTTCGGATGGTTTTAGTTTTGAAAACTTAGGATCCCAAATTTATAATTGATTTACAAACTTGGTAAACTTGATTTTGACTTAATCTCTTAATTAATTGAGATTTGGAGTTAATGATGGATTAAAGGAGGAGGATATTACACAATCCAATTTGATCCAACTTCCATTTTAGCTCAATTTAGAGTCATATATGATCTAAAAAGCTAATTAACAACACAGAAACATAATTAAATTAATTAGTTACTTTTTTACTAATTTATCCTTTAATTAGCAACAAATTCTAGATTTAAAATTTTGGATGTTACATTGGCCCTTTACTACATTAGGGTTAGCTTAGCATTATTTTGAGAGGTGAGTGATCATCCTTGTCACACTAGTTCATGCTTATAAATCCAGGCACAATTGAGAAATACCACAGCATCTTTACCAGACATGATCCGTTTTGCTTGTAGCATAAGGCATTACACTTCAAACACTTTGTTAATGATGCATATACTTGCCTATATAAAACATAATCATCAGGACATGCATATATCTTGTCATAACTTATGCTAATTGAGCACAACACTTGTTTTGTGTCATATGCCCAGCAAGGAAGCTTGTTGTCCTTCAATAGGATTTATAATTTCATAAATGCAAGCAACTTTGTAAAGCTCACATTATTCCATTCATGTTTTGCTTTCAAGTTGTACAATTTTAATACTACTAACAAGTTTGATGCTCTACTACCAGCTTACAACGACATCTTCACATCACTATTGAGTTGAATTCCAAGTTTGATTTATCTGTGTGCAAGGTGGACAATGACAACTGTAACTGATGGACACCAATGACAACAACTGAAGAGAGAACTAACGAAGAGCAATGATGAAAGAGGAAGAACAGGGAAGAAACAAAAAGCCATGACTACATCTAAGTGAATGAACGACACCTCAACTCCAACTGATTTAAAATAAGATACCATGTCATTTTTCAATAAAACCGACGTGATATCAATTTTCCGCATTGATTATAAAAGCAAACGGCATGAAAAGTTTTCCAATTTTTTAAATAATATAACATGTCAGTTTTTACTAAACCGACGTGGTATAGTCTATTCACATTGATTTTAAAAATACTGATGTGGAAAGTAATAAAAAATACTAAACTTTCTATGTTGGTTACACTAATAACCAATGTCAAAGTGACTTTTCACACCAACTCACATGAAAACCATCGTGAAGTTTTGCACAAACTTACTAAGTTATGATGTCCCCCCCCCCCCCCACCCTGGTTTTTTTTTTTTTTCCTCCGTCTATGAGGTTTTCGAAGAACCGACATAAATAAGGGCCGTTGTTTATATATCTTGTGTTAGTACATTACCATTCAATGGCAGAGCTCGAACTCTTAAGTGAGTCGTGCGAAGCCTTAAAATTCAAAATGTAAATAATTTAAACTTCAAGGATCTAAATATAAAATATTAAATTCTATATATTAATTTTTTTCCGCAAAAGTTATTAAAAAAAAAAGGACGGGTAACATGGTTTGAGGGCAACATCCCAAGAAGTATCAAACTTATCAACATTTATTACACTGTGTAAGATTGTGGCACCAATTGTGCGTTGAAACCACGCTGGACCTTTTCTTCCCCACATAAGGTTCATCAAACATTCTTAATAGAACAAAAATGCATAATTGATCTAAACCTAGAAAATGTTTTATTTTAATCTTAATTTTATATAGTATTTTTTCATTCCTCTAACTTTAAAATTATTAATTAAATTTTTAAATATAGACAAAATATTCTCAAATGTTAATATTTTAAATTTAATTTTTAAAACAAAAATTATTGGCACAAAAATATCATTTGAGATTAGTAATGTTAGGATTAGATTATTGAAAATAAATTATAAAATCAAAGCAAGATAAAAATCTTATATATATAAAGTTAGATGCCCTAGGGTATTATTACTTTAATTTGCCCAACATTTTTTTTTTTAAATCCCGGTACTTGCAAGAGGTGGCCCCCTAATAAACCACAAAGCTTTCTTCCACTACAAGATGGCGTAGTACTTAATTAATCAGTCTAAGTGACTATTCAAACTCTATGTATAATCAATTAATCCAAATTAAGACACCTAATTAGCTCAGTAATACCTGAAAATGATTGGAATAATGCGTTGAGTTGAGTAGAAGTAGAACAGTCAATGCATTGTCAATAGCCAAAGACAAAGCAAAGGAACACCTACAGTGGATGTTGGCGGGTGTAAGATTGACTGCTATAAATGGACACACAAATTTGGAATATAAGGATTGAGGAGCTCTCAATTGATGATAAATTCAACGGAAAGTTGGCTTATGTTGTGATTTACATGTGTAAGTGATAAATTTGTGTGGCTATTATTTCTGATGAGCTTATCAAAGTTAAGACATATCTCTACATTTAAAAAATATTTACAGAGGTACTTACAGATCATCCACTAATAAGGTTCTCATGTCAATAGTGAGATTTGATTCTACAGTTGACCTTGTAAATTATGGGTCATATTCTTATAAATTAAACCAATCTTTGTTGATCAAGCTAACTTTATTTTCGTTTTATATGGTCTGTTGTGTTTTCAATTAAATATATGTACGTTACAGTGTTTGATAATGAAGTGCCACAATTCGAAGGTAGTTTTGTTAAGTTTATTGGCGGTGAGAAGAAATTAATTCTAGCTACGTTTACCGGTCAAAAAAGATCTTGAAATTTACTAAGACTTTCCACACGTATACGCAAGGAATATATTAGTATACTTCCAATTTTACTGGACATGTTTGCACTTCCTAAATTTATTTTTTAGGAATAATTAATGGGATTTTTCTTTCAAAAATCTACTAAATGAATATTTAAAATTAATGAGATTTAAACATTTGTTTGTGATAAAGTCAATTATCCTATTAAATAAAGAGTAAGAACTTTTAAAGATATTGTCAGCTGCTTTCTTAGAGGTAAAAGTTAATTAAAAATGACTTTTTAACTTTAAACGGACGAGTTTATCAGCTTGCATCAAAACTACCAAATTCATGATTGAGTACTATAATTTAGCAAACAATATTACTTAACATTAACATGTGCATCAACAAACCTTAAGCATGTTATTTCATTAATGGTTTTTGGGAGTGTTTTGTTGGACTTATATCTTATTCGACTTGATCCATATTAATTAGCTCAAGTTTAGCGTTTCCCCCCTATCCGATATAGTTTGATAAGTCTGTTTTAAGGAAGAAAAAAAAATTGTTTCATTTTGTATGTTTTGTTAGAAATCTGAAACAGAAACTAACAAACACTTAAGGCCTGTTTGAAAATTTGGGAACAGTTTTTTGTTATACAGAATAAGAATAAAAAAAAATCTGTTTAGAAACATATTTTCAAAAAAGTTTTAAGAACAAAAAAAATTATTCAAAAGAATAGAAAAATAAAAACGACATTTAGGTATTTAGGAATTATTATTTTAAAGAACAAGAGGGAATAAAAGAAATACATATGTTCATTATGTTTTTGTTTTTAGAATATATTCTAAAAAATATCAATTCTTAGAATAATAAAATAAAAAAAATTTCAAAGAGCCCCTTAATATTTAATTGTGCTTTGAATATAATTGTTTCTAATAAGAATTTCACCTATTCACTGTAAAAAATCCACAAAAACATTTATTAAATTTTTACTATTATTCCCTTACTCACGTCAATAGCTTCAATTTATTCAACACCTTGGTCAAAGGCGGATTTGGCAATGTAATCAATATTTCAAGGGTTATATTTTGAAATACATGTGGAGCAGAAGTTGAAAGAGGTGAGAGGGAGAGAATATGTAACACCTAGCTTGTGAGTAAAGCTGTAATGAATCTAATAAGCCTGACCATTAAAAACTTAAGTAAATAAATTTTTTATCTTAAAATTAATACTTTTTTCAAGTCCGACCATTGTTGACAGGCTTAGAGCCAGATTCCTAAGCTCTTATAAATATTTTTGTTTTTTGTTTAATTAAATTTTTTAGTTATACTAATTTTTATATAAATTACAAAAATACACTAATCAATTATTTAAAATATAAATATTCTTTAGTCCTTATTATCATCAATATCTTCATTCAAAAGTAAATCATTAGACCCTTTCAAGGGAAGTCTACTTGAAGGAGGCAATGCCATTTCAACTATCTTATTAATTTCATCCTCGTTGTCTAAAATAAATATTTAATAAACTACATTATTTTCATATATTAATTCAAAATTTTAAATAAATTATGTAAATAAAGTTACATAAAACAAATTATAAAGGCTTTAAGGTTAATCTGAACCTGAACTCGAGTTTGTTTTTACAAAGCTTATAAATGCCAGATCTAAAAGCTCTTTTTATAACTTGGCCTTCGAAAAATACAACGCTTGAAAAGTTAGCTCATCAAGCTCGACTCAATGATGATTGATTTGTTAGCGTTGTTACCATTTGAGACTGATGGCCAAAACGCAAATGCTAGAACCCAGATTTCTGAGTGCGAACACACTGTCAGTTGCGTCACTACTATCAGTTCCTCCGCAAATTCCCCACACTTTTTTTTACATCCCGTTTCTTACCCCTCATGCATTCCATTATTTATACACCATTCTCATCCCTATCTTCTCTTCACTCTTTTTATGGTGCTTCTCCTCCCTATTAGTTCTTACCTTCAAACAAACGTCTTCTTTCATGCTCCAAGAGGCACCCTCTGCTCCATGGAATCCGGTGCCGTGGAGAAAAGTGGGTGTCGGAGATCCGGGAGCCACGAAAGCCGTCTATTATATGGCCCGGTACGTTCGCGTCGCCGGAGATGGCAGTGGTCGCTTATGATGTGGCGGTGTTAGCCTTGAAAGGCAAGGATGCTGTTCTCAACTGGCCTGAGTTGGCCGAAAGGTATCCGGTGCCGGTTTCCACCTCCGCTCCACATATCCGCCAGGCCGCGGCGGCGTCGGCTTCGCTGGTGAACGCTGAACCCATTTCCAGTGTCGTCACTTGCAATAAACACATTAATGCTTCTTCTTCATCTGTCAATAGAACTGATAATATTAATGTTGATGATACTTACATTGATGAAGACGTCATCAGCAACATCTCATCAATCTCGTCAACTTGGTCTGGAACGGTTCATCAATTTGTGGACGAGGATGCTATTTTCGGCACGCCTGGTTTGCTCTTAGACATGGCAGAAGGAATGTTGTTGTCCCCTCCAAGAATCACACCCCCATCTTCTGACAACTTGCCTGCAGATTGTTTGTGGAACTACTTTTAAATATCAAACATAGATGCCTTTATTAAGAGGAAAAACAAAAACAAATAAAAGGAGCAGATTGATTGTCATAGAAAAACTCTTAAATTATGTGTGTGGATGTGTATGAACTTTGTAACCATGTTTCACTCGGTAGGACTTCATTATTGTGTACCGGAAGTTGTGGTTGTTTGGTTTGAGTTTGTATGTATTTGTGTGTGCAAGTAAATCTCCGTAAAAATTGGAGGAAGATGTCCTTATATGGGTCCCGCCCAGTTGTGGTTGGAATTGTAAATTGCGTAAGATCCCATAGAATCGGGTTTTTTTAAAAGGAAAAGAAACTTTTGCAGGATTTGGATTCCAGGTCGATTTGGATCCCCTGTGTGTTTTAACACCATAACTCGTGTGGTACAATAATAACGGCTTGATTTAATCAAATGTTTTAATAATTTTATCATATAACACTTAAAAAGTATCAAATTTTAAATTTTTGAAAGAGACATCATAAGTAAAAAGTGTCTGATTGTATTGATTATTTTAAATATTTAAAAAGAAATATATATATATATATATATTGATAACTTTTTAGTACAACAACAACAAGTCTTTATCCCATTAGATGAGGTCAGCTACATGGATTGCAAGACGCCATTGTGCTCTATCATTTATTAAGCTTTTAGGAATATTATTAATTAAGAGATCGCGTTCTATAACTTTCAAGAGTGTTCTCTTAGGCCTTCCTCTACCTCTCTTAATCGGACTTAAAGTTATATGTTCCACTCTTCTCACTGGTGCCTCCCTTAGTCTTCTTTGTACATGCCCAAACCATCTCAACCGATTTTCTACCATTTTTTCCTCAATAGGTGACACCCTCACTTTTTTCGCGTACATGCTCATTTCGAATTTTATCTTTACGTGTATGTCTGCACATCCATCATAACATTCTCATCTCTGCTACTCCAACTTTATGCTCTTGCTGTCCCGTTAGAGCCCAGCATTCACTACTATATATCATTGCCGGTCTGATAGCAGTACGATAAAACTTTCCTTTAAGTTTATTAGGCACCTTACGGTCGCAAATAACTCCTTTAGCTTTTCTCCAATTAAACCACTCAGCTTGAATTCTATGTGAAATATCTCCACTGATTTCGCCATCATTTTGAATAATGGCTCCCAAATATCAAAACTTTTCCACTTGAGGTATAATCTGATCTCCCAATTTTACTTCCAAATTATTGTCGAATAGTCCTTTACCAAATTTACAATATAAATATTCCGTCTTACTTCTACTCAGATGAAAACCTTTTGACTCCAATGTCCTCCTCCATAACTCAAGTTTGCAATTAACCTCTTCTCTTGTCTCTGCTATAAGAACTATATCATCCGCGAAGAGCATACATTTCAGAATTTCCTCTTGAATATGTTCCGTCAAAACATTTATGATCAAGTTGAACAAATAAGGACTCAGAGATGATCCCTGATGTAGTCTAATCTTTATAGAAAAATCCTTTGTTTGACTACTAGGCGTTCTTATACTAGTTTTTACCCCTTCATACATATCTTGTATGGCTTTAATATAAGCAATCCATACTCCTTTTTTTTCTAATGCTTTCCAAAGCACTTCTCTTGGTATACGGTCATAAGCTTTTTCCAAATCAATAAAAACCATGTATAGATTTTTATCTTTACAACGATACTTTTACATTAATCCCCTTAGTAGATAAATTGCCTCTGTAGTTGATCTACCTGGCATAAAACCAAACCGATTCTCAGAAATACTTGTCTCCATCTCAATCTATGCTCAATTACTTTCTCCCACAATTTTATTGTGTGGCTCATGAGTTTAATCCCTCTATAGTTAGTACAATTCTGAATATCTCCTTTATTTTTATAAATAGGAATTAATGTACTTCTCCTTCACTCATCAGGCATTTTCTTGGACTGTAAAATCACATTAAATAACTTAGTTAACCATCTCACCCCTTCTTCACCTAAACATTTCCACGCTTCGATAGATATACAATCAGGTCCGTTGGCTCTACCATTTGTCATTTTCTTAAGAGCTTCCTTTACCTCCTTATCATGTATTATTCGATAAAATGACAAATTTTGTTCTCCTTCACCAGTTACTAAATCCTCTAAGTTACTAGATGAACCCTCTCCATCATTGAAAAGTTTAGAAAAGTAAGTCTCCCATCTATTTTTAATTTCATCATCTGTAACTAAAGTTCTTCCCTCGTCATCCTTAATACACCTTACCTGTTCCAGATCTCTTGATTTTCTTTTCCTACTCTTGGCAATCTTATAAATATTTCGCTCTCCTTCCTTTGTCTCAAGGCTCTTATAAAATTCTTCAAAAGCTTTAGAACGAGCTTCACCCACAGCTCTCTTAGTTTCCTTCTTAGCCATACGGTACCTCTCCCAATTTTCCTCATTGTGACACAAATGTATGGCTTTAAAACAGTTCTTCTTATACTTTATTTTGTCCTGTACACTATTATTCCACCACCAAGACTCCTTATCTCTCGGACCAGAATCTTTTGATTCTCTCAAAACTACTTTTGCAACCTCTCGTATCTTTTTAGCCATATCCTCCCACATGATGTTAGCACTTCCCTGAAATTCTCAAATTCCTTTATCCAAAAGATTTCGCTTGAAAATATCTTACTTCTCACCTTTTAATTACCACCATCTAATCCTTGGTGCTACTACTTATCGACGTTTTTGGATTTTACTCATAGTACACATATCAAGGACTAGGACCCTATGTTGTGTCGTTACAGCATCTCCAGGGATCACCTTGCAATTTTTACAAAGTCTTCTATCTGTGTTCCTAATCAAAAGAAAATCAATCTGTGACCTTGAGGCCCCACGTTTGTAAGTGATGAGATGCTCATCTCTCTTCTTGAAATAAGTATTGGCAATCTTAAAATCATACACCAATGAAAAATCAAGAAGAGTTTGTTCTTCATTGTTTAGCTCTCTAAAACCAAAACCATGCACCCTCGCATACTGATCAGCTTCCCTCCCGACATGCCCATTAAAGTCTCCTCCAATAAAAATCTTTTCACTCTGTGGTATGTGTCGAATCGAGCCCTCCAAATCCTCCCAAAATAATTCCTTAAGACTAGCTTCTGTCTCGACTTGCGGCGCATAAGTGCTAACAATATTAACAGTCTCACGTCCAATTATCATTTTTAAGGAAATAATTCTGTCTCCAATTCTGCTAACTTCTACAACGTTCTTCTTCCACTCCTTATTTATAATGATGCCTACTCCATTGCGTGCACTTACTTTTCCTGTATACCAAAGTTTGAAACCTTGAATATCCTTAGTTTCTTCTCCACGCCATTTTGTTTCTTGCAGGCAAAGGATATTGATTTTCTTATATTGATAACTTTTTAGTATTGATAAAATGATAATAATTGAAACATTCATTGAGCGAGTATATTTAGGACATTCAATAAATCCAAATCCAATTTAATAAGTGGCTTAAGTTTATTTGCTCAATTAGTATATTAATTATAGCTATTAGATTTTATCAATACTTGAAAATTATCAAAATATATTTTCTTCCAAAATTTTCAAACAATTCTCATGATCATAGCACTTCTTTTATATGTTACCCTCTCAAAAAATTTGAAATTTATTACTTTTTTCAATACTATATAAAAAATCTATTACAATCGTTTGATTAAATTGAACCAATCTTATGTTATGTCACATATGACACTCATTGGACGGATAAATTTGGGCCATTCATTGGTTTTAAATTGACTTGCTTTCAACACTATATTTTTCGCTATATTCACATAATATTATGATTCTATGACTTTAAGAGCATCGCCCCTAGTGTTGTGCAGTTGTATATGGATCTTTCAACTTTTAATAATGGAAGAGCCAAAATTCTTGAAAAAGAGAGTGAGAATTATGAAATTCACATCATTTATATGCTCAGATATTCGTGTAAGCCCAAAACCACGTTTATATAAATATATATATATATATATATATATTTCCCAAAGCAGATATGATGCTGCTTCCCCCACCCACACCCCCCACCCAAAAAACGAAAACAAAAAAAGATGCTGGTTTTGATATTTGCCCAACCACGTGCATAGATATGGTTGTAATGCTCTGTCTAGTTGCCGTAAAAAATGGAATGAAATATGTTAATAGAATGAAATAAATTAAAATATGGTCACAGATGGATAGAAATGTGTAAATGATAAACGAAGAAGAGCGCTGGGTTGATTGAGATGTGAGAATGGGAATTGATAAACTTGAGACCAATGTTTTCAGAACCGAACCAGACATTGAACCGGAAAAGTCAGCGGTTTACGGTTTGCATAGTTCAACCGGTTGGACCAATGGTGCAACCGGTGACGTAATAATTAAATTAAAAAAATTATATATGTATATAATAATTTAAATATAAGAAATACATATGAAATTGCTATTTAACTTAAAAAAATCAAATATTTTAAGTTTATCATGACTTAACAAGCCATATGATACAATATAATATCAAATGATTAAAAAAATTAGTCATTTTTTTAAAAAGATTTGATAAAAAATAAAAAAAAAATTTTGAACAGTCCGGTTTTTGAAAACTGGATCCGGTTTCCAGCTTGATTTCGGTTCTCGATCCGACTGCCGGTTCGAAACAGCTCAAACCGGCTCAACTCTTAAAATGGTTTTTTTTCTTTGAACTAGACCGGTCAACAGTTCAACCAATCCAACTGGCCGATCCGGTCCGATTTTTAAAACAATGCTTGAGACTTGGTTTTTATTTTGAAAAAAAGGAAAACAATTTTAGAGTTGGTTTCCTTTTTTTTAATGTTAAAACACACTGCATCTTACTATTATAAATTATATTAACTAAGTCTAGTGACCACCATTATCAGCCATTTTTTAATTCCAAAATTATTTTGAATTAACATAATCATCAAACAAATTTTCATTTTGTTTTGCTTTTGAAAAATTAGTTTTTAAAAATTGTTCATGAAATGGTTTCTAAAAAA